CCCGTCATTACTATATAAGCACCAAATTAGAGGAGAGTTTTGAACTTAAAGTATATTTTGGTAAGTTAATATAGTTATATGTTTACAAGTCCCCGCTCTTCCTCCTATCCTATGATGCTCGGCCCCTGTTCGATTCTCGGAGACCTAAAATTTCCGCTAAACTTGTCTTCATCGCCATGCTGCTCCCTGCTCGTTGGAGAAGATCTACTTCGGGTCGCGAGTACAAGGTGAAAGACCTGTCCCAGGCCGACTTCGGACGGCTCGAGATCGAGCTCGCGGAGGTCGAGATGCCAGGCCTTATGGCATGCCGCGCCGAGTTCGGCCCCTCGCAGCCCTTCAAAGGGGCGCGTATCTCTGGATCTCTCCACATGACCATCCAGACTGCCGTCCTTATTGAAACCCTAACCGCCCTCGGTGCCGAGGTACGCTGGTGCTCCTGCAACATTTTCTCCACGCAGGACCACGCTGCTGCCGCAATCGCTCGAGATTCCGCCGCCGTGTTCGCCTGGAAGGGCGAGAATCTCCAGGAGTACTGGTGGTGCACGGAGCGCTGCCTCGACTGGGGCGCTGGTGGAGGACCCGATCTTATTGTCGACGACGGAGGTGATGCGACGCTGCTTATCCATGAGGGGGTTAAGGCCGAGGAAGATTACGAGAAGACTGGGAAAGTCCCGGATCCGTCTTCGACGGACAACGTGGAATTCCAGATCGTGCTTGGGCTCATCAGGGATAGCTTAAGTGTGGATCCGAAGAAGTATCGGAAGATGAAGGAGAGGCTCGTTGGTGTTTCTGAGGAGACGACTACTGGAGTGAAGAGGTTGTACCAGATGCAGATCAGTGGGACGCTGCTCTTCCCTGCCATCAACGTCAATGACTCCGTTACCAAGAGCAAGGTGAGATTTATTAAATTTTCTCTTAGCTTCCAACCTATTTTTAACATTTTATCTCGTTCTGGATCTGGATCTGGATCTAGATCTAGATCTATGTCTCGTCATTTATTGCCTTTTATAAATTATCTATTGTTCTCGCTTTGCTGGCATGCTGCTGAGATGGTTATGATTCTTTTGTCCCTGGTTAATAGCTTCTAAAAGCTTATGATTGATATAGATCTGAAATCAAGTAATTCTTTGTGGATCGAAATTCGTAGATTTAGCATTTATTTAGCTGTGCGAATACTTATTTTGATTCGATCTATTTACGCAGTTTAGACTGAATAATATTTCGGGCTCATGGATTTATGTGTCCTGAAACCTTTTACAGGACGTGTAGTCATGGTTTGACCTCTGATCTTATTCTAATGAGTTGATACATAAATATTAAGAAGAATTCGTTTTATGGCAATTTTGTTTTATTTTTCACAAATATTATGGCAATTTTAAAAATTAATGTAATTAGACAAAATTTATGTTTGTTGTATATTAATCAAGCAAATATTAATAATGCCAATTAAATTAATTTTGTCAATAATAAAGTATTAAATTAGAATTAAACTGATTAGTTGGAGCGTCATATCATATAATTGTTCATTAATAAATTATAATTAAGATAATTACTTCAATCATATAGTAAAATTTAGGATAACAATTTAATCTAATAAATTAAAATTGCCGTTTCTCTTCAAAACTTTATTAAATATATTTACTTGTCATACATAAATAGGTGAGAAGATTTTTTTTTTCCTCCTAATTTTTGTAATTTTGATAATCTTGAAACAGTTTGATAACTTATA